AGTGTTCATGTGCATCAAAAGATACATATATAGCACAGCTCACAGTAACTTTATTTGCATTAAAAACTAGGAACAACCCAAATGCCCATCAACATTCAAAGAGACCCATAATTTGGGATCTATTCACACAACGGAATGCTACAGAAGATGAAGAACTCCCACTACATGCTCCATGGATGAACCTCACAGACTTCTACTGGAAAAAAAGAAGCCAGATTCAGTGGTTTTATTTATATGAAGTTCATGTATAGGCAAAACTAATCTCTGGTTATAGAAGCAAAATCATAGTTACGTTTGGGCTTTTTTTCTAGGTTTTTACTGGGAAAAAGAATGAAAAAGCCTTCTAGGGGGCTGGAAATGTTCCACTTCTTGATCTGAGCAGCAGGTACACAGACTTCTGTTTCCATATGTAGATAGAGATGGATATATAAAACTATACTGAACTGTATACTTAAGATGTGTACCTTCCACAGTAGTAAGTTATACCTGAATAAAAAAGTAAATAAAAAGAAATTTAAAAGTTCTCTAGTTAAGAAGCATGGCTTTACAGGAAAGGGAACACATGCACATTCTTACATTAGCTTACCTACTTTTCTAAAGGGAAGAATATCAAATAGAGAAGCATTATTTTTTTTAAGCTACTACTACCTGGACATTCTGAGAAAAGCAACTCAACTGACTGATAAAGGCAACTTTCTAATCTTGCACCCTGAAATTAGACCAGGAGCCTTTGCGCCAAGTTAGTTAGCTGTTTAAAGCCTTTAGGCTGTGTTTCCTGGCACTTGTTTAGCAGATTTAACAGCTTCCACCTCGGTGTAGAAACAAAAATAAATCTGCACATTTCCAAGAAAAACAAAAGAAATTAGTTTCTACCCTCAAATCTGCTAAATAAAAGCATTCATAGGAACCGCACATAGTTCAATGAGCTAGAATTTAAAAACAGATTCAGCTTGCCAGCATTCTGAGTATTCAATAATAGCAGTGGTCACCTGGGGCAGCGGAAATAACATGGTAACGATATTTTGAGAGGTTCCTGGAATCAAAACACAGGTCAGATTTTTCCCCTTTCCTTTTGTTTTCAGCAAAAACTAGTTATTCTCCTAGGGACTGTGGATAGTTATTTTCTCAGACTGTAATATCCAAGCATAGGGTATTTCTTCCCACATCTAGCCTGACACGAGTAGAGTGAAAAATGGTTTCGTGTCATTAGTTTTAAGCCAAGAGTGAGAGCATACTCAACTCTGAAATGGGAACAGCACAGGGCTCCGGGGACAGATCTAGGTAAAAACAAAAACATCTATTATTTAGTGATTGGTGGGGAGATCTATTTGGAAGCAAGAGACTATAAAGCAGGTGGTAAAGTAAATGGAAGAACACAGACATTTTGATATTTTGATATTTATCCTGTCATATTAAACTGTACAAACGTGATCACAAAGGATAATAGCAGTTCTCTGCAGTTTAGAATCTGGCACCAATCTTCAAATGTGTGGACTTTTTTTAAAAGGCATCTAGCAAAGTCAGCTACTACAAATGAATAGAGAAAATACAGTGGTTACCTTTAAAGCCTTTTTGCAGTTTTGCTACTATGCATGAAAAATCAAAATTATAGAGTAAAATATTTTTGTGGCCCCTTGATACTACACAATGAAAGACTGTTCATCTTCAACTGATTTAGGACTTACTGATTTATTTACAACTTTATGATTTATGAGAAGCTCAAGTCTTCAACATCAGAGTAAGACATTTCTGACTGTGGCTATTGGGGAGAAGGCCAGGATGAACTTGTAAAAAATCTATATTGTAGAATTTAAAAAACAAATGCAGTTGCATTTAGATACAGCTCGTAAACTACATTTAGAAAGCAAGGGCCAACTGAAGTCCTTAGTGGCTTGTTTTAATGAAGCGATAAAAAATGAGTTATGATTACCACAGCTGTTCTTGGTAACCAACTCATTACATATACCAAATTTGACTAATAATACTATTAGTTTTCTTACAACCTCTCCCTTTATTGATATTGTGAAGATAAAACATTCACAAGTTGAAAGTTTCATTCAAGGCAAATATACTTTATCTGTTTTAAAAGGATTTGGGAGTTTGCCCCCCTCCCTATATTAGTTAAGTTTATAAAGTGAAAAATAGACATTGTGACCGATTCTGACCACCAATATCAATGAAAATGTTCCCCTAAGTACAAAATAAACTTCTTAGTACATTATCAGCTGCAGTCACAGAACCATTTAAAACTACCTAGCCTTTTCCTCACTTTCTTAAATTAGCTGCTATCTCTTATTTCTTCTTTACCAGGACTCTTATTCCTAGAGTATTTGCCTGTGTCTATTAGACTGACTATAAGCTCGATGAGGGCAAGAACTGTATTAACACAGTCTTAAAGTGTCATACTTTAATATATGCACATAATCATACTTTAATACACTGTAAAGTATGATTATATGCCATATATATATATACACACACATACACACATATCTATTATGTATCTTGCACTCACCAACTGTAATGAATTATTATGGGTATGACTCCTTCCCCACTAGATGCTCACTCTGTTCCATGTCTATAATGTTTGCCATCGGTCTCCCTAACTAGTCACCTAATAATATGTAGGTTAAACGAATGTCCAAAGCTTAGTTGAGTGTTGGCAAATTCAATAATTTGGTAAATTAATGAATCAATTTTCTAAAGCAGACAAAACTCCTTCTTTCCAGAGATGACTGGGTGTTCATCAAACTCTCAGATGATGAGAGTCGTCTTAAGGTGGACAAATGGACCAGACTTCATGCCTTGAACTTGCAAAGTTAACCTCAGATACTTGTGCATTCGAAATTCTTATTTGGGGCGGGGGGGGGGTCTCAACTCTACCCACCCCTGAATGGGCTTCAAAAAATTAGACCATTCCTTGACTGCAGAATGTATCTCCTTGGGCGCCTGGGTGGCTCAGTTGGTTGAGCGACTGCCTTCGGCTCAGGTCATGATCCTGGAGTCCCTGGATCGAGTCCTGCCTCGGGCTCCCTGCTCGGCAGGGAGTCTGCTTCTCCCTCTGCCCCTCCCCCCCATGCGCTCTCTCTCTCATTCTCTCTCTCTCAAATAAATAAATAAAATCTTTAAATAAAAAAAAGAATGTATCTCCTCTAGGAGGGTATCTCATTTCCTTTGTTAATTATATTTAGGAGAATTATATAGAAAACAAAGAGAGATGGAAGAACACCTATTACTCAGTCTTTCAGATCAACAGAATCGATACAGGCAACCAATGAGGACAGAAGTCTACTTTTATGTCACTAAAAACAAATTCTAAACTTTTCAGTTTAGAAGGTAGCAGGCAAAAGAACATCATCAACCCAAAGAGTATACAATGACTTAAATTATTTTAACTGAAAATCCATTACATCATGAGCCTAATGTAATATTTTAATCCAAAAATTATCATTACTGAGTGGTCGTTAAGTAACCACTAGAGACCTATCTCATTTGTGACTTTAACTTTAAAATCCTCCACGGTACTCAAATATTGACTATATATGCAAGAAGAAAAGAAAGGAGTTTAACTGGAGTTAGAAGTAATACCCCCACACCCACTTAAAATGTGAACATATTTAGTACTTCACAAAAACCACCAAAGCCTTAATTCCACATGTGAAACAATTTCTTGAGGCTTTTAATCACTAGAGTTCTGTTGAAAAGCTCTAGCTCATTAGCCACCTCCTGTCTAAACTGGAGGCCTCCTTTCCTGTCTCAGTGCTGCCCCCCTCAGGATTGTGGATTCCCTCGCCAAGGGGTTTCCCCACCCTGCTGGGCCAATCCCAGTCCTGGAAGGCTTCTTCTTGTGGGCCGCTGACTGGCCAGAAAGGAAGCAGCAGGCTGACCTGAGCTAATTAGAGATGATTGCTCTTTCACTTCGATCCAAAACTTGATGTTGATTGTTGATGCAATTTTTCCAGCCCTCACCGAACCTCCGGCACTCCTAAATATAGATATTTGGAAATGCACACTGTAAACGTGAGCATAGCCATGAAGACGGTAAGGTCAAAGAGCTCAAGCCTTTATTTCTGATTTTCGGCTTTACGAACCTAAATGTGTGCTGGAGTCCCCTAGATAGGTGTTTGTTATAAATGGAAGAGAAGTGGAGAAGTGGACAGGGACTAAGTAGTCAGGAAAGCTAAATAAAAGCACCTGAAGAGGAATTCTACCTGTAGAATTCTTCATGAGATCTCTACCCACTCAGCTCTTCCCAGGACAAGCACTCCAAATCTCAGCTCCTCAAGCAACTCTCCCCCTGCCTTTATCATTCACAGCCCCCTGCCCCAGGCACATAGAATGCTGTTCCACCTCCGGGTCCTTGCTCTCCCTTGCCCCTAAGTCTAGAGGGTTTTGTATCCCTTTTTTTCCCTTACGTAGAGAAGCTTTTCTTCACTACGCTTATCCAAACCTTGAGCCTCCTCTCCCTCCACGCTCTTTTTAGGACCTCTGTGTTAAGCAAACTCATTTGTTACTTGTTCATCATGTTTTGTGACTGATTGTCATTTGCTTTTCATAGGTACTGATAACTGTCTTGGCTATTTCCTAACTTCATAATCCAATCTAGTTTTTAAGATGACATCTAAAGAACTGAGTCACATGAAAATGATGCTTTTAATAGGTGAAAAATAGTCAAGTATCAGCTGTGCTATAAGGCTCAACTTGATATATACAGACGCAAGAAATGCTCTTAAATAAGTATGTCTTCTTGTCACCTTTTTTCAAGACATTTATTTAGACATGGTCCCACAATGGCTAAGTCTCCCCTAAAACCTAGAAAAAATTTCTCCCCAAAATGATTAAAGACTTTAGTGCTTTTTTTCCAAATGTTGTTTGTTAGCTATTATAAAAAGGTAAACAATATTATATTGTGTAATTGAAATAACAAAGAATTTTGTACCAGTTCTAAAAATGCAGTAATAAAGGAGAACTCAGGTGGAATAATAAAATCTTGAGCTTACCTTCTTCTGTAGGATTAAACCCACAGATGTCACAAATACAACGAACCCACTTGTTCATCTCTTCCTCACTGTCTGCTACCAAGTAGAATATTCGGTCAATAGTGTTGATATCAAAAATGTAGCTGTTTTCAAACTCTTTTTTGTTAAACGTCAATCCAGCATCAACTTGCTGACATAAGTTTAAATCAATAATACGGATAGGCTTCTTGGCATGATCATTTTTGTAATATTCCAAGACATCTGGATCTCCAGTTAAGCGACCACTGCGTAACACAAACCATCTCCTCTTCCAGGCCTGGGAACAAAACAAAAATACCATCTAGTATTAATTTGACAGAAATTTTTCAAGAAAGTGCACACTTATCAAACCAATTTTACAACTGCAATGTCTAGAGAAAGTCACATACATGTTTTGTTTCCACAGAATAATCTACCACTCCAGCAAAATTTACTGATGGCTCAATTAACTTAATAATGTGTCTATATATACATATTTATTATGTTCTATTAGACCTTCTAATAGAAGACTAGAAGATATTGATTGCTATCAGAAGATATTACATTGATATGTAATATCAAGTCAACAAGGAAGACTTAGTTTTTACTAAATATAAAAAAGCAATGGTTTCAACAAATGGAACCAGGAAAACTTGGTATCCACATGCAAAAGAATGGATTTGGGACTCTTTACATCATACAGAAATTAACTCAAAATGGATCAAAGACCTAAACGTAGGAGCTAAAACTATAAAACTCTTAGGAGAAAACAGGGAAAAGCTTCATAACATCGGATCTGGCAATGATCTACTGGACAGGACACTAAGGGTACAGAAGAAACACACAAAAAAATAGGTATACATCAAAATTTAAAATTTACACACTGAAAGACTCGATCAATTGAGTGAAAGGCCAACTCATAGAATAGAATGAGAGAAAATATCTGCAAATAATTTATCTGATAAAAGATTAACGTCTACAATATATAAAGAATCCTACAACTCGATAACAAAAATAAATAACCCAATTTAAAAATGGGCAAAGGACTTGAACAGATTCTCCAAAGATATGTAAATGACCAGTAAGCACATGTAAAGATGCTCAACATCATTATCATTTACAGAACTGCAAATCAAACCCACAATGAGATATAACTTCATAGACGTTAGAATGTCTGTTATCAAAAAAGCAGAAAATAACAAGTGTTGGCCACGATGGCAGAAATTGGAACCATTGTGCATTGCTGATGGGAATGCAAAATGATGTAACTGGTATGGAAAACGGTATGGCAGTTCCTCCAACGATTTCAGTTGTGAATAAATATCCAAGAGAATTGAAAGCCAGGTCTCAAACAGGTATCTGTACACCCATGTTTATACTAGCATTATCCACAGCAGTCGAAAGGTAGAAGCAACCCAAGTGTCCACTGCTGAATGAAGAAATGAACAAAATGTGGTATACACACATAATGGAATATTATTTAGTCTTAAAAGGGAATAAAAATCTGACACATGCCATAACATGGATGAATCTTGAGATGTGATGTTAAGTGAAAAAAGCCAGTCACTAAAGGACAAAAAACTGTATGACTCCACTTATATGAGGTACCTATTGGTAATCAAATTCATAGAGACAAAACACAGAATGGTAGTTGCCAGTGGCTGGAAGGCAGGGCTAAGGAGTTAGTGTTTAGTGGGTACAGTTTTAGGAAGATGGACAGTTCTGGAGATGGACAGTGGTGATCGCTGCACAACAAGGTGAATGTACTTCATGCCACTGAAACCAAACACTTGAAAATGGTTAAAATGGTAAATTTTATGTTAGGTATATCTTACCACATTAAAAAAAAAAAGCAATGTTTTTTCATGCCTTAATATCATGCCATAAAGAATACATAAAGATACTTCAAAAGACTCCTTTGTATTTTAAGCTATAGATTTCTCTCTTTTGTTGTGTGTGTCTGGGGGGTTGCAAGGAGTTGGGGGGGGGAAGGGTTCAGAAGCTTTCCTGATTTCTCACTTGAAAAGCAAGCAAAGAAATGGACTATGTCTTTCTTCTGGTCAGGCCATTGTTCAAAGACCACATGGATAAATCTGTATTCTTTGAGTATAGGTTGCAATCTTCCTTCTCCTTTCCCTTTCTCCTTCTCTTCCCAACAAACATATATTGGCAATCTGGCCATGTACTCACACAATGTATTCTCTCCACAAGCTTTGGTAAATTTTGAATATGATGCTATGCCTGAAGAAACTTAAATTCGTGTACTATTACTCTCCCTGAAATCTATACTGGTTAAATAATAAAAGCAGAACCAAATGACTGAAACAGTCGGCTTCAGCTGTCTTTAAAACCAACAACTCTGCCCAGAAACAATACTAAACCTTACTCCTCTCTGAAGGTCTTCCTCTTTACTAACTTGGACAACTGTACCCATAACTGAATTAACTTGGGTGATAACTTTAGGTTTAATATTTAATAGATTCTTTAAATTGTATCCATTCAAGGATATATAGATACACTAAAAGGTAAATCAACGAGTTAACCAGTCGGTAAATTATTGATTATATTGTAAACACCTGTAGGAAGAAATACACGTAGGTAATTCATGATTGCTACTCTACTCAACTCCTTGAGAGTAGAGTTGACTAATAATGAAAAAAACATTTACCATACATGAAAATATTTGAGAATATAGCAAACCCAGCAAAGTATCTGCAGAACTATCGCTAACTGGAGAAACATTCCTTCCTGGAAAAACTGGGTGCAATCCTTCAACAATATTGGTAGAAATATCACAAAGGCCTAAAAATACTATGTAGTTCTTTAATGTCATCAAGGTTTTAAATTTTATTTTTTTTTTAAGATTTTATTTATTTGAGAGAGAGAGAATGAGAGATAGAGAGTACGAGAGGGAAGAGGGTCAGAGGGAGAAGCAGACTCCCTGCTGAGCAGGGAGCCCGATGCGGGACTCGATCCCGGGACTCCAGGATCATGACCTGAGCCGAAGGCAGTCGCTTAACCGACTGAGCCACCCAGGCGCCCGTGTCATCAAGGTTTTAAATTAACATCCCAGTCTGGCTATAGCTCCAAGTAAAGAGTAAATAATTAGTGGTGTCCAGAAGGAGAAGGCAGTGGGGAGTTCTTACATACGCTTTAGAGAACACTGAAAAATCATGATGTGTTAATTCACATAAATTTAGCACTGGTTTCTGGATTACAAAAATCCATTCAGTTAATACGTAAGACATCTATTTACTTCAAAATAAATAAATATCATCTCTTAGTAAAGTTATGCTTCTATGGATACCTCCCTATCAAGCAGGAAGCTTGCAGAAGTAATACAGAAGTAAAGAGAAAAGAAAATACAGTATTATATCATTTATCTAGGGCCATCGAGGAATCGTATCTTTTAGTAAGTGATTTCTCCAGACAGTGAAGGTTCTGTCTTTAAATACAGAAATGACTTTTTAAAACTTTAATGTCTTACATGGCAATCTTTCTAAAATGCCTTACTACATAATTCATTGAACATAATTCATCCAGTCCCCAATGACTCACTTAGTATCATAGGCATCAATCTCTATTCTGCACTTTTAGGGAAGCTCTCAAAGGCTACTGAACTGTATGATCATTTGCCCCTATACTAAATAGTACCATACTGCTGTGCTCCTATAGTTCATCTATAATCTTTTTAATACAGTTAGGCTTATCAATTGTCACTTCTCTCTTCTAATAATACAGTTAATAGGATGGGCCCTGTGTGCCCTGTTTCCTGCCGCAGAGACTTTACACATGCCATTTCCTGAGTCTAGTATGTTCTTTCCCTGTCTTCGCCAGGCTGACTCTGACCTTCTAGGCCTTCCCTTCCCAGTGGCCCCCAATGTAAAGTAGGGCACAATTTCAGAGACCTTATTGCCTATGTAATATACTTTATTACCTATGTAGTGATTATTGTCATTTTGAAATTTAAGTTTTCTTTGTATTTATTTACACCTAACTCCTTAAGCAGACTGTAAATCTGTAAGTCTGTAAAATCCATGAAGACAGTGACAATTTGCCATTACATACTCAATGCATAGCACAGCATCTGGTACCTAGAAATACTTGTACAATAAAGAGAATTCCCTGAAGACTCTATGGTTGTAAAATTTTGAGAATATTAGATTAGATAGATGGGCCACATTGAATAGAAAGGCATATTTTCAAAAACTCTTCCACTTGAGAAAAAGAGCTCCAATACTGAACATATGCATAATAAAATAAACATAACTAAGACAGCTTTACCAAAACACATGCACAAAACACCTTGGGAAAATGACAGAAAGAAAAAGATGGAAGGTGTCCTTCTGCTACGGCTTATGTGTCACTCTTTGCCTTCCAGCTAACTGTGGCCCCCCTGCCATTTCTTTGCTTCTCTGTTGAAATGATATTGTTCAAACTTAAAGGGCTCTCGGAAACTAAAATAAATAGCCAAGAAATGAGTAGCAATCAATCAGGGTGCAGTAGATAGGCTGCGCTCGCGATTGCAGAGGATAAGAGAGGAACCCTTACAGCAGGAAATTACAACATTAAAACACAGACTTTAGCCAACAGCACCTGCCACTTATTTATTTATTTTTAACATGGTCCAAATGTGAATGTTTGTCTCAGTCACAAAATGAGTCACTCTCATTGAATCTGGCACAGATTAAACTGGAAAACAAAAGCAATTACATAAACTACACACTTTAATAAGGCAGATACAAAGGTTCTCTGGATTATGGTACAAAGCACAATTTAGCCACAGAATAAAGCTTGATGCTCGACAAGAGAACTGACATCAGCACCCTTGCTAATCACAGCACAAAAGCTTCTCTATGTTTTGTCAGAGCGCAAAATGGGCCCACATAAATCAGTCTTTGTTATCCGAAAATATCTGGGATTCTTAAAGTTTGCCCTATTTTTATCCTTGCTGCCTTGGTAGCCCCAGAGAAAGCCGTACATTGCCTCACCAATCCTGCAGCAGTAACAGACAAAAAAGGATAAGTTTTCTAGAAACCTTCAAAACCAAATACTCAAAGCAATTTTACACAAAATCCATGTGAAAAATCATTTTCACTACTGGACTTCCATTACAAGCAGGTTTGCTTGAGAGGAACTACGCAAATTTACTTTGTCGTCTTTTCTTATATGTAATACTCATTTCAATTTTAAGTTGAATAACTGATGCAGTAATAAGACTTCATCATTAGGTCTGCATTTTGAAGTAGCTTAAAAGCACCCTACTCTAGTCCCAGTGTCTTCTCTCAGGGTTTTAAG